ATCCGGCAGGCACCTCATCTACTTCTGCACGACTGCTCGCTCAAACGATTCAACCTCAGTGGAGCAGGTCGCCCGCAAGAGATCCCCGACACCGAAGTTCTTGTCATGTACACGCACAAGCTCCGTGCAGCAGAGCGAGCAGTCACGTGCACCCACCTCATCAACTTTCTCAAGCGCAATCACCGAATGGCTTGACGCGTACATGGCCGTTAAGAAAGCTGGTACCCTTCTCTGCTTCGCCTGCTCCAGCGCTTCTGCCACCGACACGGATTCACGCGACAAAAGCAGCAAAGTCTAAGGAGACACATGCTGACCTTGAATTTACCCGCGCCGAATTTGCCGCAGACTTCCGCAAGGCGATCAGTGGATTCAGCCCGGGCGCGGTTGTCAATGTTGATGAAACAGGCCTGACGTATGACATGCCACCCCATGCCATTTGGTCTGTTCGTGGTGGTACGGCCAAGATCTGCTCTGGCGAGAAGAACTCGTACCGTATGACAGCAGTGTTAGCAGTGCGCGCGAGTGGCGAGAAGCTTCCCATTCAGTTCATCATGCGTGGCAAGAAGAGTGGCGCCATTGAGAAGTCTGAGTTTGAAGGTTTTCCCATTGCCCATCGGTATGCAGTACAAGACAAGGCCACGATGGACTCACGTGTTTGGGCGATGTACTTGCGTCAACTGCTCAAGCCGCAAATACGGGAACCATCCGTGCTGTTGTTAGACAACTTTGAGCCCCATGTGAGTAAGGAAGGGTGCAAGATTGCGAGTGATGAAGCTGGATGCATTGTGGCCGCCATTCCTACAAATGCTACGAGTTATGTGAAGCCCTTGGATGTGGGAGTCATGGGGGGATCCTTTCAAACGCCATAATGCGCAATTTGTGGCTGGAGGAAGAGCTAGTTGAGGGTAGTGATAATGAGGACGATATAGATCTCATGACGATATAGATCTCATGACTATCCCGGCGCAAAAGAAGCGTCTAGCTGTGATCGACCGTGTCATTAAGGCACGCATTACGCCGGAGGAAAAGCAATTCCACAACAATAGTTATTTCTTGAGTTGCGAATTGCAAAAATACGAAAACAATGCGCCAGGGACTCCAACTCGGGGCTCACTCAAGACACACAACGTGTTTTCCACTGCGCTATCGCGTCAAACGCTAAGCTTGAATCTTTGTCCATCAATCCGGCATTTAAAATACTGGATGTGTGAAGTTCTGCAAAAATGGCTTGCTCTTGTCTGGTTGGCCACAAAGTCCAACGAATTTCGAAGTCTTTGTCTAATGATCTATCGTCACTATCAGAAATTTGAAGTACAGGGTGTCCACTAAAATCTGTCGTTCACTGTAATTCCCTCCCTAAACGGAACGGGGCATATTCTACAAGTTTCATAATCCTATATTATAAAACGTCAAGGGGTTTTCAAACATTTGCACCCTGTCAGGAAAGTGTGGATACATTCAAACTTGAAGCATCGCATGACCTTGGCCGAGAAAAAAATCCTCTACATGCAAGACGCTTAAGCGATCCGAATGCATCCTATTCTGCCTTAGCCGTATGGGCCTGTGCAACATTTGGTCTCGCTGCGACGCCGTCGAAATCCACCATATGCAACGCACTACAACGAAACCAAACACTCAGTGCCCGCGCCGACAATCAGGCGCGGGCAAAAGAGCGCAAAGTCTCGATGCCGAAAGTCGAAGAAAAGGTCGTCGCCTGGTCCCAACGGCGTGAGGAGCTCGGTATGTGCATCACTGGTGAGCTCATTCGCAAACAAGCCCACGTCATCTGCCACCAGCTTGGCCTGGAGGCATCCTCGAATGTGTCGTTTTCGAAGGGATGGTCTTCAAGTTGCAGCGTAAACACGGTTTTACGAGTAAAATCCATCATGGAGAGGCTGCTCAGTACCTCAGACCACCGTGGACGCTGGCCACGAACAATTTCTCGTAACGACATCGGGTTACTCAGCGGCCAATGTCTACAACATGGATGAGACTGCATATTTTTACTGCCTTTCTCCACACCGTTCCATCACGCGCAACCGCATACCAGGCGCGAAGAAGTCGAAGTAGCTTGAGACCGTCGCCCTCACGACGAACACAGCAGGAACAGACGTCGTAGACCCCGCTCTTGATCGGCACGGCAATGCGACCACGGTGTTTCAACGGCCAGAGTGGTGCTGACCTTGGCTTCGACTACCACGCCAGCAAAATGGGTTGGATGAATTCAGTCATCTTCAACACGTACCTCAAGGCAATGGATGCAAGAATGGCCGAGCAAGACAGGCAAGTCTTGCTGCTCACAACGCTCCACCCCACCTTCTGCATGAAGACACGCGCCTATCGAACGTTCGCCTTGCCGCCCAATACGACCGCCTACCTTCAGCCTCAAGACGCTGGGATCATGGCCTGTTTCAAGGCAAGGATGAAACAGAGGCAGTTGGAAAATGCCCAAGAGTACATCGAATCGGTTATGGAAGGTCACCAAGATCAACTGTATGAGGTACCACTCGACGTGGCAATGTCGTGGGCTCAAGATGCCTAGCGATCGGTGCCTCAGTAACAGTAGCAAACTGTTGGGCTCGGACAGGCATTCTCAACGACGACCTTGCTGTCTACACTGAATAATTGGTGGTGACGCATGTCCTTAAGGTAACAATTAATATCTGTTGTATTTGATATTCTTTATAACGTGTTCAAGGGGGGGAACAGTAAAACGAAAACCACAGATTTTCCAAAAT